GGGTTCTGGGTCCCGTTTGAGGAAGGGGGAATAGTTCCACTGCCCCTATAACAATCAAAGTGTAAAAGTCGACTAATTATGTGTGCTTACTTCAACACGGATTGTATTTTCCTGACAAGCGATGAAAGATTAGTCGGCTTACATATAAGGAACCCCTGCAAAATGGACGTACCTCCAAAACTGAAGATTTGGAACCGGACTAAAGTTTAATAGTGGAGGAACAACCAGAACTTTCCGCCGGAGTTTACTGCTGATTTTTTTTTTATATCCTGAAACCATGAGTTCTTAACCCTTTGGCTCGGGTACTATGGATATCGCAACCCTTCGGCCTTGATTCCATGATAAATACCGTAAATCTGGGAGAAATGTGGTTTTTCTGCCTACCCCGGGAGTGAACCCGGACCACAAGGAGTTCGTCACCCGGTCACCGCGAAATCAGGTTTAGCCAACTACGCTATAGAGCCGGGAGAGTTTACTGCTGATAAAGGCGAAGAAAAAAAGCACAAACAATGGCAACAGCCATGGCACAATTACCTTACAATTTCAATGACACTCTCAACAGATAACAACAAAAGCACCAACTCTGACAACAGCAATGGCAAATTTTCCTAAAAATGTCAGATGCATCCAAGAGACAGCAACAAAGCACAAACTTTTGCGAAAGCCATGGCAAAATAACCCAACAATTTCAATGACACACTCAACCGACAACGAGAAAATGTTTAGACTTTCACTCCACACACACACACACACACACACACACACACACACACACACACACACACACACACACACGAGCACACACACACACACACAAATTCAAGAGCTCCTGTTACGTTAGCGGTACGTCAGATATATGGTGCTAAATCCATGTTTAAAGAGAACTATGTGAACTGTATCTTAAACATCATACCGACTGCATTTCCTTTCCACGATATTTCTTTGAACCCTGTTAATACTGGGTTAACCTAATAATAACGGCCAATAATATAAAATGTTCATCCATCTGGATTCGAACTCCAGACCTTCAAGCCTGCAGACCAGTGGCAACCTGTGCTACTCTACTTTTCAGTATTTTGTCAGAACAAGCGATGGTTCAGACTGCTAGCGGGTAGTTTGGAAAATAAAATACCATCTGTTCCAAACTAGACGATTTGTAATATATTTACGGACAATGTCCACTACAACTGACGTTCATATATTGGACCACTGACCGGATATTGGTCTGGAGTCAAGCCATTTCTACGTGTTCAGACTCTGAAATCCCGGGACACGTCAGTAGAACGTGTCTGTGACTCCCGTATACTAGGTTCTCATTTGAAACAATCGCCTGGCCTAGCAGCATGACTCTGTACACTTGCTCGTTGCCATCTTGGCAATTACGTCGTTTTGGGCTGTGTGTAGTACAGAGGTACCTCTGGGGGTGGTACTCGGAGACGTGTGGATCAGTGAAAGCTATTGGGTCTTAAATTGTTAAGGATGTGATATCAAACGTTATAATATACCCTCAGTATTTGAGTGAAAGACATCTATATTGAGCTTGCAATCATATTTAACAATATTTAACTTCAGACATGTCTGTGTGTTATCTCTCTCCTTCACAGCATGTTGACTATTATGTAGATTTTAAAAAAAAATTAGTTAGGTGGGCAGTTTGCTAGTTGCAAATTACAGTCTATAAATAAAACCGTAAGCATATTACAGCATATGACCCACCCACCCACTAGTACACATGGTAAGTACCTAACCATCGAATGTATCAACATAATTGTTTTGCGCAGCTGAATACATGTATCTCTTTGAAGAGAATAGGATTTGTTAGCCTAAAAACACTTGGAGACATACCCAGGAGGAGATCGGAGCACTTATGGTCACGTCAAATGTGCGATGAAGATGATCTTTAAATGAACAGTAAACGATGCCTCTTTAAGACATTATGGTTGTCAGTCTTTTAGAAAGCAATCCTAGATGGGACTTTTAGTTTCAATTTTAAAAGTTGAGGAAATCACACACACACACACACACACACACACACACACACATATATATATATATATATATATATATATATATATATATATATATATACTCTGGGTGGCAGATAAACATACACATGGCAACACGTGTACTACAGACGTAGTACAATACAGAAACGCAGAGATTACACCCAAAAGAGGTAAAAAAAAAAAACAAATCTGTAGGAGTGACCAGAAGAGATAAAATCACAAATGAGATCATCCGAGATAATGTCGGTACAGAAGCAATTCTAAAAAACAAACAAAGACAGCACATAAAATGGTTTGCCCACTTAGAGAGAATGCCTTTTGATGATATACCATACAAGGAATATACCAAAAGAGGAGAAGGGCGTAGAGCAGGAGGTAGACCAAGAACAATATGAAAAAATAACATCAGAGAATCTCTATAGCACCATGATGTGTCTGTGGTTGAAGCAGCCAGAATAGTACAAAGCAGAACCTTATATCTTTATCGACACCCGAAGCAGTAAAAGAGGAAGTGAATAAGAAGAAGAAAAAGAAGAAGAAGAAGAAGAAGAAGAAGAAGAAGAAGAAGAAGAAGAAGAAGAAGAAGAAGAAGAAGAAGAAGAAGAAGAAGAAGAAGAAGAAGAAGAAGAAGAAGAAGAAGAAGAAAGATTAAAAAGCAAATGATGCTATGACTTGAGGTCAACGGCTTTGTGATCAGCTCAGACAATGGCATAAGAAAGCTGTCATTTGTAGTGTTAAGTTGATTACATTAGAGGTCCCATTGGTTTGGTTTATCACACTATGTCTGTTGCTGAAATACTGTGACACGTATGGGTCCCATATTTAGCCGAGTTCCTAAACTGGGATTGTTACATTTGTGCACACCATCCTACCCACATATTTTATTGGTTTCAGCGTTCCTGTTTATATGTGTCTATGAATCAATGCTTGAGTTCGAAAGCCTCCGTGTTAAGAAACGAAGGTGATATTTCACCAGTGATTTACATTCTAAACAGCATTCGTCTGTTGGAACTTTAGTTCTATACGCTTGTCTGGACTCCATTCGTTTACACTTGCAAAAACGCTTTTGCCACGGCGGGTTTTTGACCCAGTTGTTTGTATTGATTTTAGGTGTTCTCACAATTTGGTAGAAGTTTAGTGCAGTGTTTTGTTTTGTCCTTTATGTTGTACAACCTCTAATACTTTTTGGTACTTAATGTTCTCTGTGATAAATGGGTGTAACGTGGTTACAAACTTGCCTCACTCGTGAATGTTTACTGGTGTATGCGTGTAAGAATAAAACTATTATATGTACTATACAAAACATACTTCAGGTAATACAACAATATCCTGTTTAATTGCTTTTCTTTCAGACTAGAGTGAGAAACCCAGGACACTATCAGTTACCAGCGTCACACTTTGTTTCTACGCCTGCTTGCATGCCAGGTGGTTGGCACTCCACTTCATTACAGTTAGAGAAGATAACTACATGATGTGCCTATTCCTCAGCACAAACTGCTGCCTTGACTTTGGGAGCCTCGCTGGGTCAGCTTCGACAAGATACCCTCTGTTGGCATATCCATTTCAGCGACTGGTAGCATAGTACAATATTTGTTTCAAGCAGAGCACTTGATGTACAGTGGTACCTGAATATCTACTTTGTGCAACCAGGGATTAGCTCGATGACTTCTTTAGCTGGTTACTAGCTTAGGAATTTAAAAGGAAAAATAAAGTAACATTAGTGGAATGCAACATCTTCCAAAAAGTTAGCAGGAATCAATGTATTTATTTTTAGCAGTAGGAGTATGTGGAAGTAAACAATAGTGAGAGAGCTTGGAATAACAGTGCTCATTCTTTGATAGCTTGCTGCTTGTGACTCCTTTTTCTCCTGTTCTCCTCCTTTTTCTTCTCCTTTTCTTCCTCCTCCTCCTTTGTCTTCTTCTTCTTCTTTTTCTGCCATTTATTCTTCTTTTTCTTTTTCTTCTTACTTCTTCTTCTTCTTTTTCTTCTTCTTCTTCTTCTTCTTCTTCTTCTTCTTCTTCTTCTTCTTCTTCTTCTTCTTCTTCTTCTTCTTCTTCTTCTTCTTCTTCTTCTTCTTCTTCTTCTCCTCCTCCTTATTCTTCTCATTTTTCTTCTCCTCTTCCTTATACTTCTTCTTCCTCCTCTTCTCCTCCTTCTTCTTCTACTTCTTGAACACCAAACGTATTGCGAGAAGCAAATTTCAGTGATTAGGACTCTTTAACACAATATTCAGTTGTATGATAATAGCGCGCCTTCTGATCAAAGTCAAAATAAAGAATTGTGTAATCCTAGGTCTTAATGTACTTTCTGTTACTGTGGGCAAAGTCTGTCAACTGTTCTCTGGTGACAGAAATCCCTCGATAATTTCTTAGCCAAATGACACTGTAATTGTGCTCATCTAACAATATTTTCGCAAGGCTCCAACAAGACGTATGATTGCTTAGTATGCGGATGATACATTTGTGAACGGATCTCCACGGAAAAGGGAAGCTACAGTAAATAACAAATATACCTGCACAAACTGGAACCTATTGATGTGACGCGTGTATAGGCAACTTCATATTATAGCACAAAAGAAGGAAATAGTGTGTAAATAGGTCCAGGAAGATGGGATGTCATCAATCAACGCGACAATATCGCCTCCCTAAATAAAGCAGATTAACAAGTCTAGACTAGATAGAGCACATAGTTCAAGCTAGATTTTTAGCAAACTTAGACCTAGATTTAAAACCAAAGATGTTTTCAATTTTAAAATTCCAGCATTATGATTTTAACTATAAGGGTGTTAGAATAGTGCATGATAAAGGTATTATAATATATCAATTACCGTTAGTACTTTTTGAGTCCCAGAGGGTTTAGCATCACAGGCCCAAGGGGTAGTCAAAAGAGACGTAAAATCGGCGCATCTTGCGTTCATTTGACTTCTAGGTAGGAATCTATGAACATATGATGATATGCTATTGATATCAAATGCACATCTTGAAACGCACTGATATGACGTCAACAAAAGTGTACCAGTCGTCTATACATGTGTCCAGTCTGAAACCTGACCGCGTTGTTTTTACATACACAAATGAAACGTACTTCCGGAACGAGGTCAGATCCTTTAGGACGTGGGGAAATGAATCGTTATCTGAGTCGCCTTGGTGGTGGTCGCACTACCCTAGCGGATACTCCTGGCCTCACATCATCGTTGGTGCTGTCATCATCACAATCATCATTCTCATGATTGTCATTGGAAACTTCCTGGTCATCTGGGCCATCATTCACGATCGCACGCTCAAAACTACCCAGAACCTCTTCATAGCATCCTTAGCCTTCGCAGACCTCTTCCTCGGACTCATTGTCATCCCGTTTTCCTTGACTAACGAGCTTTTGGGGTACTGGCTCTTCGGGATCATCTGGTGTGAGCTGTACAAGGCAGTCGACGTTCTGCTATGCACGGCTTCTATCATGTCGCTATGCCTGATTTCTCTTGACAGATACTGGTCAATAACAAGGGCTGTTCACTATGCTCGCCAACGGACCCGCAAAAGAGCTGCTGTCATGATCTTCACCGTGTGGTTCATTTCGGCCGTGGTCAGTATCCCGCCTCTCATCGGCTGGAAACAGCCCACCCGTGAATCTCAATGGCCTTTGTGTAATTTGAGTGAAGACATCGGATATGTTTTGTACTCTGCTTTCGGTTCGTTTTTTATCCCTGCCTTCATTATGGTTTTTGTTTACTACAAAATTTATCAAGCGGCAAAGCTTAGAGCTAGAAAAACGGTCAAAACTCCAAATTGTATGTCAGATTTCAGAACAGAACAACGAAACTCTAATGAGTCCAGTGTAACAGAACATGGGGGAAATAAGGACGAATCCCATGATGTAGACGATACTACAGCAGGGGCAGACAATCATGACAAAAGATCACAAAGGGTCAACGAGAATACATCATGCGAAATTATCAAAAAAGATGGTCCCCAAACTTCTTCTGAAGACGACGCAGGTCTACAGTTAAGAACGGTTAGAGAAGTTGACATTCGTGTCGTGAAGGAAGAATATTCTAGACTCATCTCTACTGACTCTGATTCCACCACAGAAGCAAATAATAAATATGTAAGCAGATCAGCTCCAGACTCCTCAAGATGTGACCCTCTGCCTGTATGCCAGGAAGGGCTATCGACTAAACAAACAGAATCTATGTCTTGCTCGTCCAGTACTTTAGCGTCATGTGATAATCAAAACAACGGCTCGATCCGTCGCTTTCAGATTTTAGAAATGCGACCCAACGGTAGTTTGACTGCTGCATTTGACAGTGGAGCAGTAGATTCAAAAGTGACAGTTCTTGAGTCAATTAGAAGACATTTATTGTCGAGAACAAGAAACAGCAGGAAGAGAAAGTCACCTGTCCCGTGTTCGGAAGTAGGACGAATTGTGGACTTAAAGTATGCAGAACGTCAAAAACGAAAACTGGCTAAAGCAAGGGAACGCAGAGCAACTGTTGTGCTTGGATTAGTTATGGCTGCATTCATTTTATGTTGGCTACCATTCTTTGCCTTGTATTTGGCATCAGCTTTCTGTGCAGGCTGTATACCCGCTATGGTATTTACTGTTTTCTTCTGGATCGGCTACTGCAACTCTGCCCTGAATCCCATAATATATACTGTCTTCAACAGGGATTTTAAACGCGCCTTCCAGAAAATTATCTTTGGTCGGCGCCGTCGACACAGATGAAGCTTCGGTGAGATCGTGAGGTCAATAAGGAAACAAAAGTGTGGACATTATGAATATCTTTTCTAAACTGCAAAAATTGCGAATGAAACCACAACGTTTATTGTATTGCGAGCCTTATTAATAGACCACTTGTCAATTTGATGACGGGAGGTTTAGAAGACGCAGCCCAATAAAGATATTGATTCAGAACTTGAATGACCGGACAGGCCTTAGGCGTACAGCCGTTAAGTCCATCGCATCTGACCATCACAGGGGAAGAGATCAAATCAGACAGTCAACAGTAACAGTGACTTAAAGACGACACAGTGTTAAGGGATGATGATGATGAAGTTTAGTAAACACACGAGTATGAAAATATTTCTTAAATACCCCTTGTGTTGTTTTGTGCTTTCATGTAAATAAAAGTACGCTATATACTGTGTCAGCGCATTTTGAATTATCATATTATTAAAAATCCAGTGTTAATTATATTTGCAACCATTCTTTCCCATTCGCCTATATGTTCACATTCAGTCAGTGTACTATATGTTGCCATGTATAAGTCTGTCTTGATTCTGTGCTTAGTGCTTTATTTACACACTTAACAGCAGGTAAATCGGATATGTGTTGATTCTGTCGTTCCCCTGTCTTTTTGGTGATGTCTACACTAGTAATTTGTTTCTTCTCGCTCGTCTTGTCTTTTTTCTTCTTTTCCTTTTTCTTCTTCTTCTTCTTCTTCTTCTTCTTCTTCTTCTTCTTCTTCTTCTTCTTCTTCTTCTTCTTCTTCTTCTTCTTCTTCTTCTTCTTCTTCTTCTTCTTCTTCTTCTTCCTCCTCCTTCAAGTTCCTTCTCTTCTTTAACTACTACTGCTTATGTATTTATTCGCCAGTTGTAGCATATGACATCAGCTAATTCATGCCAAACTATGTTCCATATTGTTTCGAATAGTTTTTTTTTTTTTTTTTATTACCCGTCTTTCACAATCCTCAATGTAGATTACAAGCGTTTTTCTCTCAACTCTCTATCTCTTTCACTTCTCTCTTTCGCTATATCACTCCCTCTAATTCTCTCCATCTCTCTCTCTCTCTCTATATATATATATATATATATGTATATATATATATATATATATATAAAACATGCATTATTGATAACAGGCATTGGTACTCTGAAAAATGACTGCTTAGAAGAGCCGAATGTCAAATGGGCCTGAGTGCCTAATTTGTAACCCTTTGAAAATAAAGTTTCTTCGTTCGATAGTTTTGTTCGTTTTCTTTCTCTCTCTCTCTTACAAACCTAGTGACATAGTTGGCTCTTTCAAATATTTGCATCAGAATCGCATGATTAGATTCGTAAACATTGCTGACGTTTTTCAAACGATACTAGTGGCCTCATTTGATTATGGACCAGCGGGCGCTTGGTTGGTGATGGAGTCAGCCTATCGCCGGTCGCCTTTACTTCACAGAGCATAACACGGCTTCTATTTTAGGCTGGCTGGACATGGGAGCCAGGTCACAGATCGGTGAGGCTGTGGAAGAAACATTAGGCGGAGAAGTATCTCGCTGGGCCAATGTTCAAAACAAACAGTACTCTTACAGCATATGCTAGACTGTATGTTCTGCCAGTTCACAAATGTCAGTCTCTGACCAGGCGAATAAACACCCTGTAAGTGTTTACATTATTTGCTGTCTTCCTGTAGTCATTTTTCAATGTGTTCGTCTCATTATTTAGTCTTCTTCGCCTTCTCTCTTTTACCCTCTTCTCTCTCTCTCTCTCTCTCTCTCTCTCTCTCTCTCTCTCTCTCTCTCCCTGCCGCTCTTCATAGACACATCCTCTCTGACTTCCGGTCAAAATGGACGCTAGGCACGGTCACTGTTTAAGGTCGTGGCAAATTTTTTGCTTCTGCCAGACAATGGCCGTTGCATTTGTGCTCGATTTGTAGACTCAACGGATATGGTTTCGTCGCCCAGCTACTGAACTAAGTGAATGGCGCGACACTGTGAGCTTCTGATTTCATTTGGAATGTTTTTTTACTGTGAAAAGCGTGGTGTTGTGAATTGTAGATTCAGAAAATAGTGCGTGTCCTGTCGTCGCAATATTGGTGGTGACTTATGTGATTAAAATTGATCGCCTGTGCACTGCTGATCTGTTGGTAACTTCTGCTACCGCCGATGATGAACTGCATTTCTAATTTCGGACTGTTTGTGTTAGCACTTCTGATAGCTAACTGAGCTACTAAGAGCAATGAGGAAACTCAAGTCAAAGAAGGCACCTGGCCCAGACGAAGTTTCAAACGACATGCTCAAACATATGGGTCCAGTGGCACAAAACATCTTACTCCAGAAATACAACTATAGCTGGAAACTAGGCAGAGTCCCACATACCTGGAAAAATGCTATAATCCACCCTATCCTCAAAAGTGGCAAGGACAAGAAGGACCCTCAGAGCTACAGGCCTGTCAGTCTGCTAAGCTGCCCCGCAAAACTGATGTAGAGAGTGCTAGCCACCAGACTTCAGTGGTTCCTAGAAACCAATCACAAACTGGATCCCGCTCAGACAGGCTACCGACAACACAGAAGCACTGATGACCAGGCAGCATACCTTACACAGGACATAGAAAATGGCTTCCAGGAAAAGAAGAAAACCCTCACAGTCTTTTTTGATGTGTCCAAGGCCTTTGACAAAGTATGGAAGGATGGCTTGATGCTAAAGCTCTTACATAGTGGAATAAGAGGCAGAATGTACTACTGGATACAAGACTTCCTATCCCACAGGCGGGCATCTGTGAAACTAGATGAAGCACATAGTCCCAGATTCAAGCTGAGAGCAGGAGTACCACAGGGTAGTGTAGTGTCTCCAGTCCTGTTCCTGATTTACATCAACGACCTACCTCAAACTTTACCCAGACATGTATCACATTCTCTTCATGCAGATGACCTAGCTGTGTGGTACACCTCTGAGTTCATTGGACCTGCCATATCAAAACTCCAGGAAAGTGTGAATAGTGTCATAAACTGGGCTAACAAATGGGTTCTCGAAGTAAACAGGAACAAAACTGTAGCAACACTCTTCTCATTGTCTACAAAGGAGGAAAAGTTTACATTAAAATTCAACAATGATGCTGTTCCACGCTCCAATACTCCAACCTTCCTGGGAGTCAAGCTTGACAGTCGTCTGACATGGAAACATCACATACTAGAAACTAACAAAAAAGCTATGAGAAAACAAGGTGTGATGAAGAAATTGGCAGGCACCACTTGGGGAGCAGACAGTTGTATCTTGAAGCAGGTATACACCGGCACAGTCAGACCAACTCTCGAATACGCATCATCGTCATGGATAACAGCAGCCCATTCCAATAAACAGATACTAGACAAAACGCAAAATAGAAGTCTGCGTACAATTCTGGGAGCCATAAAATCTACACCTATTGTAGAAATGGAAAAGGCAGCCAACATCATCCCCTTAGAAGAAAGAAGAAGGACAAAGGCAATTCTACATGCTGAAAAATGAAGAGAATGCTAAACCACCCATTACACGAAAAATTGGCAGCCAGGACAAAAACCGAATAAAGCGCACAAGCCTAAACCATCTAACGAAGGAATTTGGAAAGTCATTCTCTTCACTACCTAACCAACAATGTACACCTGAAGAGCTATCTTTCGATCTTTGGGACTCCGAATTATTGACACTCAATGTGTCAACATCCATCCCGAACCAGGTAAACAAAGATGCTGAGCCCGCTTTAGTGAAGAAAGCACTCACAATGGAACACCTCAACAACATGTTCCCACAGGACAGCTGGACCAGAATCTACACGGATGGATCAGCAAAAGAGGCAACTACGAATGGTGGGGCAGGTGTTTACATAAAACACCCAGATGCCACTACTGTGTCCCTAGCAGCTCCCACCGGACGAACTTGCTCTAACTACAAGGCAGAACTCTCAGCCCTATTGATGGCAGCACAGTATATGAACAATTTGCAAATCACCGCAGGCAGGATAGTTTTTCTCACTGACTCACTGTCAGCTATACAGGCCCTTGAGTCCAAACCTACCGACAGCACATTACAAAGTCTAACACATGAACTTGCTATGTTGTCAAATAAGGCAGAAATTCACTTGCAGTGGATTCCGTCACACTGTGGCATCAAAGGCAATGAAAGCGCAGATGCTTTAGCCAAGGAAGGCAGTAACAAACCACAGACCTACCAGCCACTATCTTTTCCAGAAGTCAAAACTCTCATTAAGAGAAAATCAGAAACAGATTGGAAAACCAACACTGGTTATAACTACGAAAAAGATTTTCTGAAACACTTGAACAGAACAGACCAAGTCACAGTTTTTCGCTTGCGCACTGGACACTGCAGACTCAATAAACACTCACATAAATTAGGTATGAGCCAAACAGCTCTCTTCCGGTGCCTTCGTGCTGAACAGACTCCAGAACATGTCCTGCAAGACTGTCCTCTCCTGGCGGAGCTGCGGAGCGACATATGGCAACACCCAGTTGAACTGACAACTAAGCTTTGGGGAAACCTAAGAAACCTTGAAAAGACATCCCAGTTTATGACCCACAGTGGATTATGCGCATTACCAGAGATCGCTGAAGAAGAAGAAGTATGCTTTTAATGCGTGTGTTTGCTAATGCATATACTGAAACCGCAGGCTGTCAATCTTCCCACAAAGGACTGTAATGTAACATTCTGTGAGTTTTTCGTTGGCACAGGAGCGGAGCAAATATGGGTTGACCCGTTTGCTATGAAGCTGAAATAAAATTACCAAGAAGATTGCATCCTCTCTGGTATGCCCCTACATATATTTGTGTCCCTCATTTCAGCATGCTCTTTTGTACCTTGGGGTCGGGTTATTGTAGTCCCCCCACGGTTTAACACAACACGACTTTTGAAAGATACCACGACGGATCAAACGCCGGAAACCTGCTGTAATATCTGAATGTACTAACTTGCTTGAAAGCCGTTGTTGGTGTGTTCCAAACCCCACCAAGGCGGGAATATCAT